AGCTAGAGAATGGGGCACCAAAAGGCCGAGATAGCGAAGCTTAATAGCTGCGCAGGAACAGGTTGAGGCGAGCGAGATTATCCTGAGCCAAAAGGTTGACCGAAGCTAACGCAGGGACAAACTTCGGGCCGTGAAGTCGACGAAGGTCGGTATCTCGCCGAGCTAGGAAACTGCGCGACGCGCACAAGACGAGAAGGACAATGCGTTTAAGATGATGCAGAAGACTAGGGGATACGCGCAGGGCGAGAAGACCTACGGAACAGGCAGGTCCAAGCGGACCAAAGACATCTTTTTCAGTGCGGCTGGGAAAGCTGCTGTGGAGAAAGTTGGTTCTTTGGTACGGATTCTGACATGTTCATCAATCACCTGCTGCCTATATCCCGGTTACATGCAGGGCGCAACTCCCAAGGCCACCCAAACGGCTCATCACGGATGCAAGGAAGAGGCCGAGGAGAAGCCGCCGCGCGAAACTTAGACGAACTCCTCCCGAAGCATCTCTAGATGCGGAGGAAGAGGCTGATGGATGTTTGCCGTGGTGGAAGGCACTGCGATGACCGCCGAAGAAAACTGCCAAGACAATGGTGGAAAGGCGAGCAAACTGGCATCGCCGAAACAAACGTGACGTAGGGTTGGATTGACGTTTTTTTTTTTTTTAACTGTAACCGGGCTATGTTCCCCCCGTTCTTGTACTTAATTTCCTTTATCAATGAAGATTTCTGACTTTATTTGCTCGCTTATCTTCTCTATTTCTGTTCGGTTTGCATCTGGCATGGATCCTTTGATTTCAATTGTTGACAATTCACACGGCCGGATCGGCTGTGAGGTACAATTGAAGCTAAAATCACCTCAAAACGTTTTCTAATCAGAACTAGTTTAGTTCGGTTCCGATGAACTTTTCAAATGAGTGTGACGTTTAATGGCTCCGAGCAAAATCTGGTCGGCCTAATTCGTTTGTAAATATTCATTGCAATTTCGACGTGACCGGCAAATTCAGCTCGCCTTTTAAGTTGGGTAAGCCACCAACATTTCTTTTAGGGCAGCAATTTCTGCTCGGCTTCTTATCGGTTGGACAAAATTCCAACATTGAATTCTGCCGAGCAAACTCCGCTCATTTTCCATATTAGGCAAAAACACCAATATGGTCCACTGGGCCGAGCAAAATTCAACTCGGCCCCTTACACTGGGGCAAAACACCAATGTTTCAGTTAAGTTGGTCATGACGCCACATTTTCAACGGGCGAGCCAAAACTTATCTCGGCCCTAATGCGAATGGGTCCATACGCCAAATTACATCATCGGACAATGCACCAAACTTTTTGTGCGGTTGCATTTCATGTCCGACGAGAGGGAAACCAGTCCGTCCCATTCAGGTCCGGTCTTCTTGCCCCTTGGTATCGATAATTGCCATTTTGCGTCCTTGCGAATCCATTGTACAAAAGATGTAATTCCAAACAACAGAGGCGCTATTTTTCATTACATAAGCATTGCTATCCCTTTACATTAAGTGCCAAAGCTAAAGGGTCTAAAAAAGCTAACAACACAAGCAAATTACATCTTAAGTAAAAGACCTTAAGGTGTGGCCGTATTCCATGGCCTAGGGATTGCCTTGCCATCCTTGTCTTCTAGGTGGTATGCCCCTTTGCCTGCTAACCCAACCACCTTATAAGGACCTTTCCAATTTGGGCCTAACTTGCCGTCTCCTGGGATCAAGGTGTTTCCCATTACTTTGCGTAGTACCCAATCCCCAATCTTGAATTGTCTTGGATGCACCTTTTTGCTGTATTTTCTGATTAACTCTCGTTGGTATGAGGCGATGTGGACTAGTGCTCTTTCTCTTCTTTCTTCTGCAAGGTCGACCGAGCTGAATCTCCGAAGTGGGCTCCGCCGCTGACCTTCAACGACCGAGACATCAAAGCTACTGACTCGGTTGTGGCTGAAAAAGATCACCAATTGGCCTTTAACCTGGCCAAAAGTGTGTGCCTCCCCAAGGACATGGAGCACCACTTAAAGCAATTAAACACCGAAATGAAGTCAATCCGGTCCACATCGAAGTCCATGATCTTGGTAAGTAGCTCTGTCTGTTTTTTCTGCCTAAATTTTCCAACTTTTACTTCGGCTCAAAGGAAATCTTTGTTTTGCCAGGCCTTACAAAAGAACAATATTACTTACAAGAAAGTCCAAGAACTGAGAAAAACCACAAGGCAAGCAATGGCGGAAGCCGAGGCAAAGGCGGCCGAGCTAGAAGAAGCCGAAAAGAGAATGGCCGAGCTACAAGCGGAGAGCGGCCGTCTTGCCGATCTGGTTAGTTCGGCGGAGGCAGAGAGGTAGAGAGCAGCCATTGCTATGAAGGACAAATATCTGCGGGAGTTGGTGAAGCTTGAGAAGAGAAAAGACACCGAAATAAGCAAACTAAAAAAGAGCGTAGAGACGGCCGAAAAGGAGGGGTACAAGCGAGGTTACAAGGAGGCAGAAGACGCCTATGTCAAACAATGCGATGCCGCGAAGGAGCTGTTCTTTAAGTGTGGCTGGAGGGCGGCTGTGGAGAAGCTCGGTCATGATCAATAGACCGAGGTCTTCGACCCTCCAACTTACTTTATACCGAAGTCCCTTGCGGAGTATGCAGACGCCTTGCAACAAGAGTTTCTGGAGGACTCAGACACTGATGACTCCTCTACTCCTGAAGACATTCTGGTTGCTGGTGCAAGCCCATCACTTCGGTTGGAGCCCATGGTAGAGGACCCACCTATTGACCATCCAAGTGACACCGCGGTTCCAACCGAAACCAACCCGGCGACCGAGCGTGATCTTCCTCTTGAAACCGGTTTCCAAGTTGATGGTGATGCGGCCTTTGATGCTGAAATACAAGAACTCTTTTCTTGACTTTGTACTTTTTTTCTTTTCTTATTTCGTCTTTGTAACCGGCCCGGCCCCGGCCCCGACCCCCGGCCCCGGCCCCGCCCCGCAAGGTCCCCGAGGTGAAATGACCATTTGGTCCCTGGATATATATATATGCATCTGCTTGTTTTGTTAGGGTTTGACAGAAAACATTTCACTCTCACACAACACACGCCGCTTCTCACTCTCTCTCTCTCGTCTGTCCATCTTCGTTTCATTTGTCACCGCGGCGCCGCCCTCCATCACCGGCGATCCTTCCTCCGTCACCGACGATCCTCCCTCCGTCACCACCGCGCCTCCCATATCTGTTTAGGTATCTCTCTCTCTCTCTTTCTCTCTCTCTCTCTCTCTAGGGATTTCGATCTAGGTTTACATATATGTATATTATATATATGTATATATATCTGAGTGTTTAGATCTGATCTGAGTATAAATCTGTAAAAAATACAATGATGTGAAAATCTGATGTGAAAAATATGTATATTAAGATGATTATCTGAGTATAAATCTGTAAAAAATATGTAAAAAATACAATGATCTGATCTGAGTTGTTTGATAATTTGATAATCTGTTGATCATTATTTATTTATTTTCTATTATCGGATAATCTGTTTTTTTTGTTTAGATCTGATAATCTGTTTATTAAGATGATCTGTCTATTAATCTGTCTATTAATCTGTCTATAATCTGTCTATAATCTGTCTATTAATCTGTCTATAATCTGTCTATAATCTGTTGATCATTGAAGTTTGGGAGTGTTTGGGTGATGATGGAACATTTTGGTTGACCAATTTGCTTAATAAGATCTTGAATTCTAAGAAAATGGTTGATGAATGGATAAAAATACATTAGTTCCAACTGATAAGAACAAAGGTGATATTCAAAGTTGCATCAATTTTATTGTATTAAATTTAGCAGAAGTAGAAATAGACAGGGATGAAAGTAGAGTATAACTTGATGAGCATGAAATACATGAGTGATCTTTTTTTTATATTATGGGTGAATTATTCATAAAGACAGAGAGGTTGAGGAGGACATGAAACAGTTTTTTAAGCTAAATTATGGGTGTATTGAAGTTGTTGATGATCTTCTTTTAGCTCTATCAAAGGAAAGGTGAAGGTGACAAGTTTAGATGGGCAGGAGTACTCATGGAGAGAAAGTGTGTTATATTGTAGCTTTGTCCAGGAAAGAAGAACACAGTGTGGGGATGAATAACAAGGGCTAAAAGGGGGAGTAATAAATAGAGGGTGTAAAGGGTTTTATAAAGAAAAACTAAGATGTGAGAACCGGAGCAGCTTGGGCTTGAGGTGTACGTCTTTTATGGTGTTAGATTGAAAATCTCGAGTTTAAATAATTTCTCATGAGTAGTTCATATGGAATTTTGTCACAATTTTAATTAAACTCTTATTAATGAGTAGTAAAATTGATCTTTCAATTAAGCAGTCCATTAATCTGGATGTTGAGTTTTTTTTTTTTGTAATGTAGTCGATTTGGAATTCCTTATTATATCATAAATCTTCTGTAATGCATTTTCTAATTGTTTCAATCATGTCATAATTTTTTTAAAAGATCATGAGTACTTAATTTATTTATATTAATTCAATCCATATTATTTTTATAAAGGTTAAAAATGTCAGATGTTAACTCTGAAGCACCAGTTAACTCTGAAGCACCCATTAACTCTCAAGTACCATTTGAGAGTGACGCGTCACAACATTCATCGCCAGCTAATAATAAAAGTGGAGCATAATAAAAGTAGGGTAGCAATCACAACTGATATGTGGACTGCTAGCAATCAAAAGAGAGGATTCATGGCTGTCACCACACACTTTATTGATGATTCATGGACATTGCAAAGTCGGATTTTGAGGTATATTTTTGTAAATTTGCAAATCATTTAAAAATTCAATCTTATTCAGTTCAATTTGCATGTTATTAATACTTGTTTATGAATATCATATTTTAGGTTTATTTATGTTCCATGTCCACACACAAAAGACGTTCTTTGTGATACTTTGCTTGAGTGTATGATGGATTGGAATATTGATAGAAAAATCTCGACTGTTACTGTTGATAATTGCTCCACAAATGATGCCATGATTACCATGTTGATGGATAAGTTAAGTAATTCATCGCTTTTGTTGGGTGGTACTTTGTTTCATATGCGTTGCTGTGCGCATATTTTAAATTTGATAGTGAAAGATGGATTAGATGTCATCCGAGTTGGTGTGGAGAAAATTCGAGAAAGTGTAGCTTATTGGACAGCAACACCAAAAAGAGTAGAAAAAATTGAAGAAACAGTCAATCAATTGCGTATTCCACATACTAAGAAATTAGGACTTGATTGTGCAACTAGGTGGAATTCGACAGAAACAGTCCTTCAGACAGCCTTATTGTATAAGGATGTCTTTTCTAGGTTGAAAATTAGAGAGCCCCAATATAAGACTGTGCCAACTGAGCAAGAATGGGAGTTTGCTAGAGAGATTAGTGGAAGGTTTAAGATTTTTTTTTCTACCACAGAGTTGTTTTCTGGTACAAAGTATCCCACAGCCAATGTTTGTTTCCCAGCCTTATGTGAGATTAGGATGACACCGTCTTAGAAAAATTTGAAGAAACAGTCAACCAATTGCGTATTCCACATACCAAGAAATTAGGACTTGATTGTACAACTAGGTGGAATTCAACGTACTTGATGCTTCAGACAGCCTTATTGTATAAGGATGTCTTTTCTAGGTTGAAAATTAGAGAGCCCCAATATAAGACTGTGCCAACTGAGCAAGAATGGGAGTTTGCTAGAGAGATTAATGGGAGGTTTAAGATTTTTTTTTCTATTACCGAGTTGTTTTCTGGTACAAAGTATCCCGCAGCCAATGTTTGTTTCCCAGCCTTATGTGAGATTAGGATGACACTGTCTCAATGGCTCTCTTGTGAAATTGAAGTGATCAGAACAATGGCATCAAAAATGGTGGAAAAATTTGATAAATATTGGTTAGTGATACATGGTGTTATTGGGGTTGCAGTTGTACTTGATCCTAGGTATCGTATTGGAGTTTTATTTTGAAAAACTTTATGGAGACAAAGCTGAAGATGAAGTTGATAGGGTTCGTCATATTTGTTATGATTTGTTGCAAGAGTATCAGCACCGAGTTGGTATGGAGACCGATGTTGGTGGTGACTCTTCTGCTCATCCAGAAATTGTTACAGAGACCCTTTCAGAATTTGATTTGTTTGTTAGTAGAAAGAGAAGTAAAAAAATGAAGAATGTAAGATCAGAGTTGGACCATTATCTAGAAGATGATGTTTTGCCAAGAACTTCAGGTTTTGATGTTTTGAATTGGTGGAAAGCTAGTGGACCAAAATATCCGACCTTACAGGCAATAGCTAGGGACATTTTAGCTATTCCTGTATCCACTGTTGCTTCTGAGTCAGCATTTAGTACTAGTGGAAGGTTGGTGAGTCCACATCGTAGTAGACTTCATCCAAACACATTAGAAGCATTAATGTGTGCACAAAGTTGGTTGTGGGGTGAAGAGGTGAAAGGTATTATTTCATCCAATTTACATATTATTATTTCACTTTTTATTATTTAAATTATCATGGAATAATTTCACTATTGAATTTATATTCTTTACTTTTTAGGAAATTCAACATTGGAATCGGTGGGCTGTGCAACTATATATGATGATAATGAGATCGATTCAGATCAGTCATGTGCCACTTTTGTGTTAGTTGTCATCTTTTTTGTTTTAATTCACATTTTTTACATTTTATTATTAATATTAATTATTTGTTTTTTTTTTCTTTTGTTATTTAACAGGAATTCAAGTTGAAGGAGATGATGGAAGTTGTGTGGTTTGTATGGGTTTGAAGAAACAATGGATTTGCCTTTTTATGTTGTAATGGATATTTTTTTTTATTTTTAATTTCAATTTTTGGGTAACCTATCCTTTGCGGGTTGTGCTTGGGATTAATTATTCTCTTTGCTACTTGTTGAATTTTCTTGTGTGTGGGCTGCTGGACAGATATTTTGTTTATGGGCTGCTGGATTTTTGCTACGGGATGTTCTCAATCAGTGATTAGGTAGTTGTGATTCACAGGATGTACACCCAATCTTTACATTTTTAGTTTACTATTTTTGCTACAGAATGTTCTCAATTAGTTATGGATGTTCTCAATCTTTACAATCACAGGATGTTTTGCTACAGGATGTTTATCAATAATTATTCTCTTTCTTTTTTTTGTTTTGTTTTGTTTTGTTGTGGCTAAGTTTTAATTAATTAAAAAAATGAAGCTATTATTAGGAGTTGATATTCCAACTGAAAAATTCCAAAATTTATACATCCAGTAGTGAAGGGTGATTGAGAATGTTTATTAATGTTTACAGATTTTTACAATAAAAAAAAAATCGGGGATTTTCCGGGGCCGGGGATCCCCGATCCCCGATCGGGAGCGGGGATGGGGCCGGGCTATGGGTCCCCGTCGGGGATCGGGGACGGGGACGGAGGGGGGTATTATTTTCGGGGAACGGGGACGGGGGGTAGTCCCCGGCCCCGTCCCGTTGCCATTCCTATGCTGCGCAGATGGAATTAAGGGACAATTGAGAGGGTAATTTATATGTAAATTGGACTGAGCTGGGTAATGGGCCATTCTGTGGGCCACAGTAAGAAGTGTTGAGTAAAAGGGGCCTTGTAATTAGTCCGGTCCAGAGGAGCCTTGCAGATAGCCCGGTTCGAAAGAGCTTGGTGGTTAGTTCAGTCACTACGGTCGGCACGATGACAGTTAGCTCGGTCAAACCATCTTGAGCCGAGGTATTTTTGGCTTCTACTCAGGACCTTGCTGTTGAGTAGCTTGGTCCAAGTACGCTATGGTTAGCACGGTCTATAGGCAAAGCCGAGGTACATGTTACACATAAAGCGCCGGGATAAATGTAACATGAGTATTGTTAGCTTGATTACATTGTCGTTGTGCCACGGCAATGCTAGCTCGGTCGTTTGGACATACCACCGAGTTAGGACCATCTCACTTGGTTTAAGTAGTGAGGGGGGTGTTAAAGGATAAACATTATCTTTTAGGAGAGTAATTGCTAAGAGGACTCCGCATGAAAAAATAAGAGTCCTACTAGGATTGTGCCACACGGAACCTATAAAAGCTCACAACATCACCTATGGAGAGGTAACACAACTTTGATTCTCGAATACACAAAGCTTTTGTCTGTTTGTCTATTTTGCTGACTTAGGCATCGAGAGGTATCCGGCATACACCCGCCGGCTAGCTCACATTTGTGTTTTCAAGGAGTAAAGTGACGACGTACGGAGGAGCGCAGACTTGATCAACAGGATTATACGTGGCTGTGTGCCCTGCCGAATGTTTGCTAGTCGCAGCTCGGCCAGGCTTAGTTCACGCCCGGTCAGCCGATCTTTTCGACAGAGCAAAACAGACCAACCGGCCCTCTCGATAGAGGAAATAGCACGGCGCCGTAAGGTCTGTCACGACCCGCCCTATCTTAGCTCGGCCGTACTAACGGCGCAAATCTCCCCTCTCAATGCCCATCTTTTCCATCTCTCAAAGGTCTCAAATTAATGTAGGATACATATGCTCATTTGACTCAAGTTAAATGCATTTTGGGACGGAAAAATGTTATAAGTTTTAAATTTTTTATTAAACAGATGATTAAATGTTTCATATAAATGTGAAATTTACAAAATTATAGACTCCATATTCATATAAAACATTTAATTATTTATTTAATAAAAAAATTGAGATTCATGACATTATCTTTTTGGGACCGTCTCGTAGCCACCTGCCATCACCTACCCACAAGAAGCTACAATTTATAAGCCTTAACCTTTCACATCAAGCCATATTTTTTGAAACCCTACGTACATATATCAACAATGATTCATCCCACTAATTTGAAAGCATTAATTGACCACTAATAAGGTGGAAATTCAAAAATAAATAAATAAATAAATAAAAAATACAAGAACAAAACATCCTATCTTGTGAGACCCACACCACTTTAAAACTATTAATGCTCCTCTTTTTAGTAGTCTCACTCATTTTTCTACATATATAGCCATGATTCTCAACCTGATTGAGAGTTATCTTAAAGTAATTAACTGGGGGGAAATTGTCGAAAAAAAAAAAAATTCAAATTAAAGTGTGCAAAACAGACTTTGTATAATTTTTTAATTTATAAACCATGAGAAATTAGAGGAGTGATAACACAAAACTTGTTTGGCATACACGTGTATTAAAAATTTATTTTAAAAATAAGTGAAAAGAGTATTTACTTAGAAAGAATAGAAATAACTGAATATGATTGTGATGATAAAAAATAGTGATTCGAGATAGATGTGGTAACCGGAGTTGGTTGTCAGTCACTGAAGATAAGAGGTGATTGATAATGGTTAAAGATAATTGACAACATAATTAAATTAATTAATGACAAATAAGAGTTGTCTACTTAATTTTATTTATAATTTTTATAGATTAATAACACTACATATAGAAAGGTATTGTGTTACACTCTATTCATTTGTTTCAACACCTAATAAGTAGTAGGGGTGGAATTTTGGCCCGCGGCCTGTGGGCGGTTCGAGGTGGGCCTGGCCCGTTAAGGCCCGAGCCCAACCCTAGCCCGAGGCCTTGGACCAGGGCCTGGGCCATCGTTTTGAAGCCTGACCCATGGGCCCGCTTAAGGCTCGCCCAAAAGCCCAGCCCGTCCGAGGCCCAGTGTTATTTTTAATGAAAAATAATAAAATTTTGGTGGAAAAAATTTTTAAAAAATTAAAAAATTGTTTAGGCCCGCCCAAGCCTGCCTAAAGCCCGAGCCTAGGGGCCCCGCCCACTGCCCCGCCCAAAGTCAGAATACTCCTGGGCTTGGGCTTGGGCCTGAGCCTAGTTTTTTGGCCCGTTGACTGACCCGGCCTAATATTTTGACAGGAGCCCGCAAAGCCGATAAGGGCCCGGCCCGGCTAGATGCCAAAATTACATCCCTAATAAAAAGTCTATAGGATAAGAGTTAACAATCAAAAAGCAAAGCTAAAAACACTTCTTTCTTTCTTTCATTTTTTTTTAAACTACTAAATAATCAACTTACAATTTGACAAAACAAAAACTCTAAAAAAAAAAAGAGTAAATTACATTGATACCCTCTGAGATTTATATTTATTACAATTTTCCCTTCAAATTTGGAAAATTACACTGACCCCCCTGTTAATTTAATTTTATGTATGATGATCATTACGGTGAGAGGGGAACTGTTATGAAACTTTAAACCTCATAGGACAATCTGTAATGAAATTTTAAACCTCAAGAAGGAGAATGTAATTTTCAAAGATGAGTAAAGAACTATAATAAATATAAAACTTAAGGGGTGTCAATATAATTTACCCAATAAAAGCAATAAAATTTTTTACAAACAATTCATATAAATTATAGCAAGCGCCCTCATTCATTTCAAGATGTAAGGACAATGGAACCCTCTAAATTAATGGAGCTGCATATCCAAGCTGGTGTATACCATGACCTAGTAACCAATCACCATAAATTGTGAAAAGGACCCAACATGGACCAATTATTACACACTGGTACAAAAGAAGAAGTCAGTCAGAGCAATTCTGGATAATAGGCTTGCCGTGCCAAACAAGAATTAAGGACAGTGCAATCCACACTAACTCAGAACATTCATAAAGGGGGAATTAGCCACAGTAGAGCAATATAGAGATGTAACTTGCATCCTTACCACTAGAAAAATGAGTGAGAGTATTAATTAGTGCTATTATTAATGATGTGGTAGTGGGTCTCAGCATAAATGATTTGATGTTTTGATTTTGGTGTTGTATTTTTTTTTTTTTTATTGAGTGTCATGTCATTAGTGGTCTTTTTAGAGTTTCAAAATTAGTGGTCTCTATCATTGTTGCTTACCACTATGTTTGATTATCATTTTTCAAAAATACTTTTCAAAAAATATTGTTTTTTTATTTTTTTGTTTTTATTAAAATTTTTTAATATTTTGAGCAATTTTTAAACATACCTAACATACAAATACCTAAAAAGTAAAAAAAATTGAAAAAAAATCCTTTTAAAAATTCACTAAATACAAAAAATACAAAAAAAAATACGAGAATTCAGTATATTTTTTATATTTTTATGTATTTATTAATTTTTAAAAATATTTTTTTACAAATTTGTTACTTTTTAGATACATATAAGTAAGGTGCATTTAAAAAAGTAAAAAAAAAAAATGTTTACAATTTTAAAAATATTCACTAAAAACAAAAAAATATGAAAATAAAAAAACTCAATTTTTGAGAAACTTAATTAAAAAAACTCTAACCAAACACACTGTATAATTTTTTGAAAAATGATCAGGGCACCTTCCCCCTTTCCCTTTGACCCCCTCTCTTTTTGATTGGTTAGTTTTTTATTTTTATTTTTATTATTTTTTTTTTCTTCTCCTCTAATCACCACCTACTACATATATAGGAGAATGGTGATTGGAGAGATCTCAATCACATCCCAAATTTTTTTACTTTACTCCATCACAAATTCATTTATATCTCATATATTTTTATAATTTTTTTTAATGTCCACTTTAACGTAATTCCTCCATCCATAAATGCAATTTTGGCAGAGAGTGCAATTGTAGAACTGCATAGATATTGGCCCTGTTTGGTAGAGTTGTGGAAAAGTGCTTATACCTTATGCCTCAACAGCTTATAGCTTATAACTTTCAGTTTAAGCTAATTTTCAGCTTATTCTTAAAGCATCTCCTGCCCCACTCAAAGAATAAGCTGATTTCTGACTTCTAAAAAACTATAAGCTATAAGCTAAACTAAACACATCAAAATAGCTTAAATTAAGCTAAAAGCTGAAATAAGCTGTAATTAAGCTCTGCCAAACAGGCACATTAGCGAAAATCGTAAATAAATTAAACTGTTTTAAAATAATTATAACACAAACAAAAACAATTTATAAAATTTATTAAAAAAAATTCAAAATTTGATATTTGTAGCCAAATCAAACGAAACCAAACTCAGTTTCAAGTCCCATCATATGAGAAAATTTTGATAGTTGTAGCAAAATAAAT